ATTTCGATATATCTAAATATGTTTAGTGAAAGGTAAAAATCTCCGTGTAAACAATGCGTGATGTAGAGATCACTTCCGGCGTAACGTCTGGAGCTGGAGACGGTTCAGTTCGGTTCAGTTGGACATCTGATTCAGAATAGTTCGACGGCTGTTAACAAGTGGTAAAAACGATATAAATACTGTTCGTTTTCTCACACAAACCGCTCGTTTCGTGTCTTAGGCCATCAATGTGTACTTACATTTACGAGTCATTAAATCATGTTTAATTTGGACTTCTCTGTGCATGCTCTTTGAGGTGGTGACCATAGACCTCCATTATATGACTGACAGACAAGAACGGTTTGACCTAAAAATATAAAAATTTAAACTACTGTGGAAACAAAGACACCTACATCTTGGATGCCCTTGAGGTAAGATAAAACATGCCAAAAATTAATTTCAAAGTGAACTATCCCTTTAAACTTCAGTAGATCATATTGATCATGTCTACATGCCTAAGTGCATTGAGTAGCTGCCATGTGATTGTCTGATAAGATATTTGCGTCAATTTTCATGATAATACGCACATATTTTAAGGGGGGAAACATGCTTAATAGTCAAGATAATTGTCTCTTTTTTCCATCTGATTTTTTGGGTGAAATGTGACCCATGATGACTCCGTGATTCTTGTGAGATTCAACTGAATTGAAACTCTTTGTGCTTAGCCTATTTTCTCAGAGTTGTTGCTCTAAGCTGCTTTTCCCGTGTATGTTTGCGTGAGGATGAATCTGGATGATATAATGAAGGGTTTACGGCTTCATGCCAAGCGGGATTTAAATAAAAAAAAATGCATTTTATCATTACACTTGCAATGTCAAATCGACCCTGGACTTTCACCTTCAATCTGAATTGCGATTTATTTATTTATTTTTTTCTGTGCAAAGAGTATGAAGACCAACATCAAGCTCACAAAACCCAGACACGCACGTGTAGCAATCATTTTTTTTCATGACTGTTGAGGCAAATGTTCTCTGATGGAGTCTCAGTAGATTCAAACTACTGGTACATTGGTCTGTACAAACATGCCAGAGAGTCAGGTTAACCATAGTAACATAATCGCTCTTTGTATGTCCCAAAAAAAATCCATGCTAAAAGTGAATCCCCTACCATTTCCACGTTAAATCTTTAACCTTCCACTATGAGAGTCTCCTTTCCTTTTTGTAATGGCGTGCGTGAGAACAAGAGCTCCATTAGTGTGTTTTCCATACATTATTGACACACGACTGCCATTTTCCCAGCGCAGAAGCAAAGCACAGATTTTATTTCACCTGACAGATCATCCCTGACATTACTTTTTCCAAGGATGAAGGTCATATTGCTTCCAGATCTGTCTACAAATAGTATGCTACCTTTAATTTGAATAGAATAAAATGCCAATATTTGCTGTCTGACTGTATTTACTTGTCTCAGTGAAATTCACAATAAATAGTGATCTCGAAAAACGGCAAATATTCATATACTTAATCTATTAATAACACTCAATTGTGATAATGACAGGGACGAGCTTTCCATTTACATTCAATGCACATTATATCTATTTCTAACCTAGATGATAATACACTGCAGTCAATGGCATGTGAAAGGAATTCAGGTCTGATTACAGAAGTGATTTTTTTGACTGGTGCAATGGTTAAACTTAAATGTAATCTTGTAATATACAACTTAAAAATACAGTTTGTGTCTTTACAGCAGTATGTACTTGTGGGTTTAACTGTCTGCCTGTCAGTGCTACGCCTAAGCAGCCTTTAGGCATGTGTGTTGGTAAAGCATCCATTCCACACAAACATTCCATGTGCTCATTAAAACATGCCATTCCACATACTTTCATAACGTACAGATCCAGAAACGTTCAGACCGGTATTATAACAAAAAAAATATGTGTATATTGGTACCTGTTCCCCCCTACTGAGTGTTCATCAACTCAAAAGTGCACAACACAGTTTATTTTTTACCAGTGCAACCCAAAGCAGTCAGGTTATATCCTTTTTTTTACTTGACCATTAATTTATAAGCTGATTAAAAAAGACACTGCAGTTTGCACATAACTCAAGAAGAAGTGAGCATCACATTGCCTTACCTGTGGTGGTACCTTGAAAGAACTTTCAGAGTGCTTCATCATGAATTTATCCCCTGATGTGACCCGGGCTTTCTCCCCCTTGGCCATGGCACCCGGTGTGATGGGTACAGAGACTAGCAGCTGAACTCTCTGGCTTCTCAGAGCTGGCTACAGCTGTGCCTGCGTCCATTCACGTACTGCAGCAGCGAGAGGATGGGCAGGGTTAGATACAGATGCTTCCCAGCTGTCACTCACAGATATGAGCCAATCAGAGTCCTCGCTCTACCAAAACAGGCTGCTTACCTGAACCGGATAGCGTACATTCCTATGCCGTCACAAAGACACCAAAACACTAAATAAACACACATGCAAAGAAAGAGTTCATTGAGATTTGTTTTCAGGTGGTGAATATTAACATTACACATCTAATGGTCACCTTTTCCTGCAGAAATACTTTTAGTTCAGATAATGCAAAAATAATGATTTGTTTTCCATGCATTTTTTATATCAAGCAACACATTAATTTGATTAAATAAATATGGAGTGCACATACACACAAAATGAAAAAGATAGATAGATAGATAGATAGATAGATAGATAGATAGATAGATAGATAGATAGATAGATAGATAGATAGATAGATAGATAGATAGATAGATAGATAGATAGATAGATAGATAGATAGATAGATAGATAGATAGATAGATAACCTGAGTGATGCGATGAGATGCACATCTGCAGCAGAGGTGGATGAACTGCGGGTTCATTCCTTCACACACATTCTGCAGCAGCACGTTCGATAGTTGTTGTAATCACAAACAAACAAGCGCGCTCCCTGCAGGACACCAAAGGCAACTCACAGGATCCTACATCTAGAAAAGACAACATAAAGCTCTAAATGAACTCCAGGTTACAGGCTAAAGTAAAATTAATTGACCAGTAGCAGCTGCTTGTTTTAATATTGGGAATGGCAGATTATTAGCGCTGGTTTATGTTATACAGTTTGTAAGCGTTATCTGCAAATGCAGACACACTTTTGGCAGATAGTGTTATTCAGCCTGAGGGTGGCGTTCTTGACAGGGTTACACACACAACACACGCGTAAATGCTATCTTACATTTAATAATGTCATGTCAAATCTCAGAACACACATAAACAAAACAGAACTGAGCACGTTTTAACAATATACTGTAAAAAAGTCTAACAAAAAATCATTTAAACTAATGGATTTATACTTTTATGGTAGGCTACCAGAACAGATATGGCAACAAGTAACTGACCTGATGGAGACTAATGTACACATATCTAAAGCAGGTTGATATCGTCTTGGTCTGGAGTGGACTGAAGAGATGTTTAGGTAAAGTTAAGAGAAAATAAAAATTTCACCACAAATTTACATTGGGAAAATTGGGGGGCGCTGTAGAGCTAGCCAGGTCTCGGCACCCTCTGCTACAAATATTTTTTGCATAAGGCTAAACACATTTACAATTTACTAATATAGATAATACATTATAATACAATATATTAACATTTATATAGAGGTCTATGTTTTGGATGAATATTTTGGAGGGGCTCTGCCTCTGCCCCAACTTCCCTTACAGACAAAAGCCGCGGGTGGACATAAATAAATAAATAAATAAATAAACAAACAAAGCAGCATGACATTAAATATAAAATTATTAGTATGCAGGAATTTGATATAAATTAGTGCATAAATAAATAAACAAAATAAAAACATATGTATATTGAAGATGCAAAAAAAAAAAGAAAGAAAAGAAATATATAATTTTCACTGTATATTAAATGAATAAATAAAAAATAATTATTACACATGCACCTGTGGAATAGTCCTTTGAGGTCAGAGTTACTAAAGAGATCTTTCCACTGACTCTGAAAAACACCAGGGATAAAGAAGCCCAGGCCCAGGCAGATGTGGCTAGAGCAATTAACTACAATGTCCATCATAATCTAACACACCTTAGACAGCTGATCGTCCGCACAGTGCCAAACCACATCTAACCAAGTGTCCCTCAAATGTATTGTTTGAGAATGCAAGTACCTTGGTGGAAGGGTATCGTAACATCTCACAGCAAGATCTGGTGACGAGGACCAAACCACACACTGACTGCCCTTGATCAAGGCACTCATTTTTCCATTTCTGTTTGTGTCAACAAAATTTGTTCAGTTTATGTCTCAGTTGCTGAACATTTTTCATGTTCATACATATATTTACATGTTAAGAAATTTGAAGAACCAGTCATGTATGATCTCAGAGACAGCTATAGTGGACAAAAAAATAATAATTAAGTCTCAGATATTTTATGCATACATTACAATTAGTAGCAAAACAAAGTGAATAAAATCTTTTAGTTGCACATCAGTCAACCTGACTCAGAGAAGTGAATAGACATGCATTTACCATGACTAGCATCGAAAGAAGACAAAATATACATTTAATTATGCATGAACTGCTCACAAAATCCCATATTTAAACTTGCTAGTAATTAAGAAAAAAATCTCATCATGGTTGCAAGACCTTATCAAAATAGTCAAATCAACTTTAATGTACTTCAGAAATTCTTGACATTCAGCCCCCAGGCCAGGACATCGACCACATGGTTGGCATTCAAAGTAAATTTATTTTTGAGCAACGATATATGTGGAAATGAACAGGATTGGATCGAGATGTCATATTGCAGATTGACTGGATAAACATACACTGCTCTTCAACTAATCTTTATGAGCTCATATCACATCTAAAATTTTTAAAAGTGGAAGAACGATCCAAGTCCATTATTGCAACCAAAAAAAAAATCACATGAATCAGAACGTCTCCTAATTTTATACTTATCAGCTCTGTGTGCATTTAAGACATATTAGAATCCATTTGAAATGAGAAAAGGAATCAGCATATCATCAGTAGGTTTATTGCAAGCAGAGGTCTTTATAACAGAGCCTCTGTCTTAGGCAAAGTGCATAAACATTAGACATTAATAACTTAACGGTACATTATAAGACATACCAACACAGAACTTCCATGATCTGGCTTCTTCATTGATCTATGTGTAAACATGTATAATGGTGAAGGTTAAAGACTTGGCTTGTGCATACTGCATTGTATCAGAAAAGGCCAACACTTCCAGTTTGTGAAAGAACATGATGGGAAAATTAAAAAGAAAACACAAGTGTAAAAGGAATAATACACCTAAATAAGAAAACATCACCACTTACCATTTCTTAATCACCCACATGTCATTGCTTTTCGACTGAAATTTAAATCATCATTTACTGACAAGCTTTTAGTCAGTGACATTTTTCATTTTTTGGGTGAACTATTCCTTTAAAGCTATTTGAGTTGAGTGGCCATTTATACAGTCATAGTGATGTCCAAAGGACCCCTGTATTCATAACCAGACAAAACATTGGCTTTCACGGTTTTAAGGGAAACGGATTTATAAAATGTTACCCAAACATGGGTGGGACCAAAAGATCAGAGTCTCTGGTTTAAGCAGGAACAGTCAGGAGTGACCGAAAGGAGCTTGTGTGTTGAGAGACCTCTGAATGATGACGGCATTCGCTAAGTTGGCTTCTCCCAAACTCTGACCCTCGTCTGTGAGCTCTCGGAACGGCAGGGATGTGGTCAGGATGAACTGAGCGTCCGTTCTCTGAGCCTGCTCCACAAACTGCTGCACATCACTGATCCTGGTGGACAAATTAGATAAAAACCAACATGAATGCATCTTCTCAGGGAGCCTTGCAGCCACATCTTACAGTAGCAATCGTGTTCGAGTCGGAGGCATGAAATCCTTACATGTTGTGACGCATACGTTAAATCCGGCATAATCTGATCTGATCTGCCGCAAAGTTGCAGCTTACGATTCTTCCATGAGTCTACCTTGCGTGATTGTATTACATAAATGATGAATGTGAATTATGTAAGAGCTTTTAAGGGGAGGATTTCAAATTTAGAGCATCACAACAAGCCCGGGGTGGATTTTGACAATAAACATTCAAACATAATCCTGTTTAAAGCCAGTAACTTTAGCTGTGTTGAGTGAAAGCAAATTACACTATGTAAAGGATGCATATTCATTTATCCTTTAACACCATATCAGCATCAAAGGATATATACATAAACGTAAGAGTAATAGAATTTACAATTTTACAGTTTCGTTGTATAATAGGTTTTTAAAGTTGATGCTTGGGACAAATATATAACCAATCAATTGTATTAAATGTACTTTAAGGGATATTCCACCGTTTTTTTCATATTAAACTCTGTGATTCCCTTAACTAAGACGAGTTGATATCGCTCTCGTCTCAGTGCGTGCACTCAATCGCTCTGGCGCGCGAGACACTTTGATAGCACTTAACTAGCCCAGTTTATTCATTAGGATCCAAGCAGAGAAGCGACCAAACACCTCCACGTTTTCCCTATTTAACCCTCTGGGGTTGTCCGTTTCAGAGTCACACTCGGGGTGTTCGGGTCCAAATGGACCCAAAGGGCGGGATTCATATTTAATAAAAAAAAAAAAAAAAAAATCATGATTTTTTTTTTACTCGTTTTTTATAATATTTTTTCTTTTCTTTTTTGGTGTTTTGAGAAAATTTCAACAACAAAAAAAAAAATATATAATTAGTATTAATGCAATAATTATTACAAAATGTCCCCTCCTTAATATTAATTTTTTTTTAAAGCTGTATTTCATTTTAGAGTCAAGCCTAGGCCTCATAAAAGCAATTTTTGAAATGAGATGGATGCCATCTGGTGGACAAACTGAGCATTTTAAAAAAGCAAAACACATGTATAATCAGAATTTTTTGGTGTGTTTGTGTATAAAAGTGTGTTTGTGTGTGTTGTTTGATGTTTTAGAGATTCACCCCTTCACTGTTGTGTGCTTTTTTTCAAGATCGTGGCTGATTTGTAGATTGTACGCACAAAAAAAATCAGTATTTTCACATTTTTGCCAATTTTCCATTCATTTTCTAATGCGGGTCAATTTGGACCCGAACACCTCAAGTGTGACTATTTTTTTTACAACCACTTAGACTATTCACATCCTGTCCCCAATTTTTTGGGGTGTTCATATACCAAATACCAACAAAGTCACCAAATTTCGGACCATTCCGAGGAAGCTGTGATTTTTAAAAAAAATTATTTAACTTCTTCAGGTCCATTTGGGCCGAACAACCCCAGAGGGTTAAATACAGTTACTCGAGCAGTGTAACTCGACCTAGGACGGTGACACAAAATAAAACGTTGCGCTTTTTTAAGCATGTAAAGTGGATAACTATATTGTATGGGGGAATACCACAGGGAGCACTTCGACTCGGCGCAGTAATATCATCACTCGTGAAAAGTCCTCTCCCTCTCCGGAGTGATGATATTACTACGCCGAGTCCATAGATAAATATGCGCTGAGTCGAAGTGCTCCAAATCACTTGCTTTAAGCAAGTTAAGCATTTTACACGCTTAGAAAAGTGCAACGTTTTATTTTGCTTCACCATTTTTGGTCGAGTTACACTACTTGTGTAACTGTATTTAAATAGGGAAAATGTGGAGGTGTTTGGTCGCTTCTCTGCTTGGCCCATATTGAATGAACTGGGATAGTTAAGTGCTATCAAAGTCTGTGTCTCACGATTGAGTGCACGCACTGAGACGAGAAAGATATGCATCAACTCGTCTTAGTTAAGGGAATAACATAGTTTAATATGAAAAAATGGTGGAGTATCCCTTTAAGTATTTTTTCGTGAAATTCACCTTCTACGACCATATGATACTCACCGATGGCTCAGATTAAACCTCTGCACGAGCCGCTGACCGTCCGCCAGCCAAATCTGGAGGGAGGTCACAGGAAGGTCCTCATTCAGCTCCACTGCCGGGAGAGGGGGACCAGAACAGTCCTCGTGTATCGACCGAGACCTGGCCACCACTCGCGGGGCCACACTGCCGACGACAATCATTTCGACTTAATCAATTTATAAAGATAGGCTTTTAACAGATGCACTGCAATTATTGTGGTGCCATGTGATGTTATATGTGATTAGAGGGTTAACACTAACATCTAGATAATCCTTAACACATTTACAGTCAAACCATCAAGTAGTGGAAGTGTTGTGAGGACACCTAGTGGATATTTGTTGGAACTAAAATCTTTCACTTTTATGTTAAATTAATAGCATTTACTAACATCACTAATATGATTTGGTCAATTGAAAAAAATGTATGCAAAAGAGGACCTACTACCTTCCCAGTCTGTAACCTCGGCCTGTAAACGGGTGGAAGGTCTTTTTCTTTGGGACATAATCTTCATCTTTCATGTCCTCCATGTTGATTTCAAGTTCTTCATCCTCGGCTCTTCCTTCTAGCTCCAGAGGCAGCTCACTTTATAGAGGATTTATAAATCAAGACAATTAAATATATTTCAATTTTATTCATGAGATGGGGGGGAAAGCACAAAACATGATGATACAATGGCTATTTTAAAGCCATTTTGTTTTGATGCTATGCAATTAAATGAGTCCGCTGGTTAGTCCAGTTATGCAATCACATCCAAAGTCAGGTGAGTGTTTTGTTGTTGTGCATGGAGGGATTTATGTGCATTCTTAGAATTTATACGCATCTTGGTGTTTCAATCCAGTGTTTTTTTAATGCGATATCCTAAAATTAGCTAGAGACAAAAACAATACTCACCCTCTTTTAATGGCCTCTAAGAACTCTTGGTTTTCTTCTAGGGTGTAACTGCGTAAATCCTCGTCGTTTACTGTGAAGCCATTTTTCCACAGTCTCACTACAATCTCCACCTGTAGAGTTCGGTCATAAAACAACCTTAGGAATACTTTAGAAAATTCTAAATCTTTGCATTTTTGTTTGATAATGCTAGTGGATCAGAAATTACATGTTTATGCTGACATAAAGGCTGGACGCTATGATGATATGGTTACCATGGTATAAATGTATATTGTTAGAGATTTTGCTACATCATGTACAGTATAACATAATGTGTATATGAAGAGTTCAGATGCAAAAGCCTCTAAATGCCATTTGAAATTTTCTTCTTTAATGATGATTTTTATCAAACTTGTATATTTAAGTTCAGTAATTTCACTTATTAATTGTTATTTAAGTGAAATTACTGAACTTAAATATACAAGTTTGATAAAAAATCATCATTAAAGAAGAAAATTTCAAATGGCATTTAGAGGCTTTTGCATCTGAACTCTTCATATATATATGGCACTTCAGAGTGATAAAAGGCATGAATGAGAATATAAAGTGCAGGACGAGCTGATGATAAAAAGTGTTATTAAGCACAATAAGCAGTGAAAAAAACTCAAAGTTGTGAATGCGCTGACTGACACACGGTAAGCAGAAAGCATGTGATAAGAGCTTGCACATATAAGCGTCTCTCAGTATGTGATAGCAAATTCAGATCTTATTGCGATTATTGTCTCAAGTGAAAGTAAAAAATTGGGTGTAAACCAGATGTGTATCAGTAATGGATCGGTGCGTTTGGTCTTAAAGTGACAGCAGCCTGATAAACCGTTACCTGCTGCTCTGTGTCATTAATGCGTGAAAATAACTTACTGCTCTTGATTAAGTAACTTTTTTAGGTTTAATTAAAATACATTTATATTTAATTCATAGTGAAGACTATGCAATCTCTTATTTTTACATTTTATGTTATATACTGTATCACATTCCAACTACATGCTAAATACACCTATTGTACCTGAAAAACGTAATTTGTTTAATTCATATTTTTGCTATATTGTATTTGTCCAATTATTTGTAATTTTTTCCCTTATTTTTAACAGAAATGAGATAAAATAACCATTTTGTGATATATATATATATACAGTATATATATATATATATATATATATATATGAAGAGTTCAGATGCAAAAGCCTCTAAGTGCCACTGGAAATTTTCTTCTAAAATGATCATTTTTATCAAGCTTATACGTATATTCAAGTTCAGTAATTTCACTTAAATGACAATTAATAGGTAATCCTCATTGCAATTTAAGTGAAATTACTGAACTTAAATATACAAGCTTGAAGAAAATTTCAAATGGCACTTAGAGGCTTTTGCATCTGAACTCTTCATATGTATGTATATATGTATATATGAAAAATGTATAATATCGTGAAATAGGAATTTAGTCATATTGCCCACCCCTTCCTGACATTAACTTGATGTACTGGGTTTTTTTTTCAACAACATTTTTATTTTAGGTTTCCACCTGGATGTTCTGAATGTGATTGCACACAAGACGTCTCATATGAACTGTCTGACCTTTTTGCCGCTGCTGGCAACACTGCTGATCTTCTCCACCTCATCGAGCAGGTCCTCGACGGAGAAACTCGATCTAAGAGGGCTCGCCTCCTCCTCATCCTCTTCTTCATCATTTTGAGCCCCTTCACACCTAAGAGCTCATGAAGGCAACAAAGCGTTCAATTATGAACATTCAGTAATGATGAAATGATACAAGATGTTTCAGGTCAGATAATAGACAGAGCGGACTTACCATGTGTCATCTTGAACCCTTTCTCTTGAATCAATATCTTTCATCATGACGTCTTCTGTTGTCCATCTTGCAACACAAACATACAGTATGCGGGCATAAGTTATAAGGGATGGTGCAAGTCAATGTAACCACTGCATCAGTGCTTCCTGAATAATTCATAGGGCATTTCCATCTGAGATTGAAAGGAGCAGTGAAATGTGAAATTCTCAAAATATCGATCAGCTTTCACACCAGACCGGCAAAATGGTTTTCAACTGACCAGAAATGACCACTATTATGGTGATATCAATTGTAATTACTGTACAGTTCTTTGACATTGAATTAAATAATTATCAAAATTAAAATTCATATTATAAAATAAATAAATATATTCCATAAAAATAAGTATTATAAAAAATAAACCCCTTAAAATTACCTTAGTAATGGTATTAGGGCACTTTGGCATATACTAGTGTACTTAAATATTATTCAATGCATGTATTATGGTTCAAGTCAATATAATATACATTTTTACTGTATTTCCACATTGCACGTCCAAAACATTTGGCATCACCAGTATGTCCAAAAATACCCACTTGCACACATCAATGCGTAGGCTACTATGAATTTTTGGACATGTGCCATAAAAAATAAAAATAAAAAATAAAAACATCTGAAGCATTTTAAGGGTACATAGACAATTTATCAATATTATACTGATCAGCATTTGACATGCGATCAGCTGCTTAATGATGACGTCATGATGCACTGACAATAAACTACATGACGTTATGTGTTTACTAATACCCTAAGTTTATTTAACCAAACGTTTTAAGGTCAATCTCTGGTAGGTAAAGGCACCCACATGCATGCTTAAAGCTTCATAATCGTATTCACCGTAACAAACAGGTCAAAGGCAGCATAATAAATAAAGCAGTGCGCCAAAATTACGTAAGGATATGTAGAGATCACGCAAGCGCACTGCGATCCGTTATGACGGAAAACAAGCGCTATAACCCATAACACATAATTTCTGAATCGCAGGCTAATAATCCCGATTATAAACTGTAGATGGTTACCAGTATAAGGCTTCAATGGTGTCGTAAAACTGTCTCCTCGGCTCGTAAGTTTCTCACAGTTGTCATGCCGCTCCTGCAGTCCACCATTCCTGTGACGTCTCCAGACTTCACGTTTGTGCATACGTCACTATGACATAGCAAGCCCAAAATGCTCTTGGAGTGGTGTTTTGCGTACTGATATGAAGGTAGCTGATTAAATACTGGCATGTGTGTCCTCGTTTTTTGGGGGGTGTAGACAGACAGTGACAGATGGTGAATGCAGTCAGCTGTACAGAAATAAAATACCCTCAGTAAAGCTGCTAGAAGTGATTTTATTAATAACCTGACCCTACAACCTGACATTACGTAAATATTGGTAATCAGGGACGTGCACAGGGGGGTTGCTCAGGTTGCCCGGGCAACTGCCCATATGCCCTTCTCGACTCAGGTTGCCCTTCTGAGGAAAAAAAAAAAAATCGTACAATGGATGTAGAATTTCACCTAGGCCTAGACAAAAAGTAATATAAAAATCGCAAAGCCTCATTCACTTCCAAAAAAAAATAATTTGAAATTCAAACTGTTTCCACGAGACTATAGACTGCACGCGACCATATGGTAAGGCACCGCAAATTTACTCAGGCTGCGCCTCCATCTCGTGTCGCGCGCTAATTAATGTGTACGAAGTCCATGACAAAATGAAGCGAAACTATCCTTCTCGTCACGAAAAGAGGAAGAAGAAAAACATGAGAGTGAATTGCGGGAACAGCAGTCAGGTAAACTTGTGTTCTGTCCTCTCTAGTGTCAGCAAAGTTTGATGGTTTGTCTGGGCAGGCAATGCATCTCTTGCATCACTTTTTGCCTGACAAAAGTGAGAGTAAAATACCATTATTTATTACGTTTTGTTTTTGATAAACGACAAAGTGCAACAACAGTGTTTGTTTACTGCAGCTCGGAAAACATAACCGCATCGCGTGTGTTGCGTTCATATGCGCGTGCACGAAATGAAACTCGCATTTTTCAAGCAGAAATGTGGAGACCAGAGAAATACTGTACAATACTTGAATGATGGCACTCCCAATCAAAGTACACATTATAAAGACACTGATTATCTAGTCTCAGTGTAGTTAAAAACTCTAAACAACTGCACTAATTATGCAAGATATAAACCAATGTATTGGCAATTTGACATTGATTGACTATTGATTTATAGGCTATATTGAATTTAAAATGATGATTAGATGGACATTCTGGTCAATATGGATGCAAATCCCTCAGTAAATAACCATAAATTAAGATTTGCTTTAACATGCATAAAAATAAATAAATAAATAAATAAAAATCATATGCTACTGATTCCGAAAATACCCTGGCTGTAGAGAGAACCAAAGTTAATCCCAAAAGCCAAAGTTCAGGGTTGTACTTTATTATTTTCTTCTTGTTTATGTTTACGTTAATATTCACTTGTTATCTTAACATTCTATAAAAATGCTTTATTCAGTATATTGTTTGTTTGAACCTCATTCTGTTCTATATTGTTGTACTTATTCTTTGACTGTTTTGTTTAAATGAGGGAGGATTGTATTGGGCGGTATTGAGTGGCAATGGCAAATGGTTTACATGGCTCACGGCATCACAGATCAGGTAGAGGGCCCCTTAGCAGAATTTTGCTTAGGGCCCCAGGGGGAGGTCAGGATTGGCAAAAAAAGAATTGTATTTTTTCCCGAAATCTAAGCGTTTTTTATTTTTTCGAGTTTTTTCCATTCAATCCAGATTATTTCTTTTCAAATAAATAAATAGATAAATAAATAATAATTTAAAAAAAAACAATAAACAACAATATAAAGAACTCTTTTGCTCATTTGTCTCATCTCTGACATTTTGCAATCTTTATAAATAATTATAAGACCATAAGATGAGGCATTGCGTTTGGACATAAACACGGCCAGATAAGGCAATTTGGAAGGGGACAAATTCAACTGAATATATTCCTTCATATAGCCCGTGAGTGGGGAGGAGGGGGGAGGGGGGGTGCCCTTTATTCAGGTCAGAGCAACTGCCCCTCAAAATTCCTGTGCACGTCCCTGCTGGTAATAATGTCCTCCTGAGAAATCATATTGCTAAAGGCTTTACCTTGTAAACAGCCAGAATTTTAGCAAATGCTAGCCAATCAGAAAATGTTTTCAAGAGGTGTGAATTTGGGGAGGGACTATGAGAAGAGGGTCTAGCCTAGGAAACCTTTCTGATAATAATCATTATTGTTAAAGTTGCAGTTGAATTCAGAAAATGAAATTATTGTGGCTTATCGAAAATTATTGTGGCTCACCCGTCCAAGTTGTGGAGACACTAGTGCCGTTGTATCTGTAACACATTAAAAATATATATTAATACAATTCATTGTATGTTTATTTTATGGATTGTCTTGTTTTTTATTTGGACCCAGAGTTTGTTATGAAGCTTGCTTGCTTGCTTGATTGATTAACAGTGTTAGGGATAGTTCAACCAAAAATGAAAATTCTGTAGGCTACTCACCCTCATGTTGTTCCAAACCCGTAAGACTTTTGTTCATCTTCGGAACACAAATGAAGATCTTTTTAAAGAAATCTGAGAGCTTCCTGTCCCTCCATTGACAGCTACACAACTGACACTTTGAAATTTTCAGTACTGACTCGATCACTTTGTTCAATAAACAGACTTAATATATGCTTATTAAAGCTCTCAGATTTCATCAAAAATATCTTCATTTGTGTTCTGAAGTTGAACAAATGTCTTACAGGATTGGAACGGCATAAGAGTAATTAAAGGGATAGTTCACTTTGCTCAGAATTTCAGTATTTTCAATTTTTCCTATTTTTAGGTCAAACCGTTCGTGTCTATCAGTCAAATAATGGAGGTCTATGGGGTCCACCTCAAAGAGCATGCACAGAGAAGTCCAAATTAAACATGTTTCAATGACTCGTAAATGTAAGTACACATTGATGGCCTAAGACACAAAATGAGCGGTTTGTGTGAGAAAATGAACAGTATTTATATCGTTTTTTTAACTCTTGTAACCACAGCCACAAAGCCTGCACCCTCATATTACTTGAACGTGGCTGTGATTACAAGAGGTAAAATCTATATAAAAACTGTTTTTTTTTCTCACACAAACCGCTCGTTTCGTGTCTTAGGCCATTAATGTGTATTTACATGTATGAGTCATTGAATCATGTTTAATTTGGACTTCTCTGTGCATGCTCTTTGAGGTGGACCCCATAGACCTGCATTATATGACTGACAAACTACAACGGTTTGACCTAAAAATATCCAAATTGAAAATACTGTGGAAAACAAAGACACCTACATCTTGGATGCCCTTGAGGTAAGCTAAAACATACCAAAAATTAATTTCAAAGTGAACTATCCAACTATCCAATTCCCTTCACCAACTTATACCATATTTAATACTTTATTATATAAATAATGTATTGCGAATAAAATTCATTAAAACATTACCCTACTTCCAGAACCACCCGTGTAAATATAAAACCTGTATTCTTACACTTTTTCTCACCACTTGTTTACAACTATATATATATTTTTAAAATTCTCTGGCGCCAACTTCTTTCAAGCGCGCGCACTCTCGTTTCTCTCTGAAGCGGAAGTGGCTCGCCGGAGAGTTTCGGCTGGCTGACAGTAGAGGGAGAGAGAGAGAAAGAGAAATGGCGCCTCGGCACTCTACTAGCTGAGAGACACAGTCAGAACGAAAGCAACTGACAAGAGCTACAGGATAGGAACTGTCTATCAGCGGGGACAGACAGCAATCATGGTGAACACCAGGAAGAGCTCGGAGCACAAGCCCGTCAGTCCCTTCATCTCGGGCCGGACGAGGTCGTCTCAGAGGAACACCCCAAACTTGGACGAGCACAACAGCCGTGTAAGGAAGAGAGAGACACCGGCAGCCTATTCTCTCCGCCAGCCGGTTAGCGAGCTGCTTACTCTGGCCTCTTGGAGATGGATGGTTGGATGGGATGGATGTATAGATAAATGGTTGGATGAATGGATGTCCACATCTTTTGTTCCCAAATTGCGCCTTGAGTGACACTTGCCGATGCAGAAATTGCAGTTTAATGACACGACCGCGCTTAATCGTGGCTTGTCGCTTAGTTTTATGTGTTTTGTCACATATATCAGCTGGACTTTAATAAAGCCGGCTGGCTAGTTAAATGCACTCAGTGCCCCTAAGTTGTCTTTGTTATATTGGTGTCCGATTCGTGAATGAATCGTTCTATTGAACCGTTTCTTTTGAATGAACCGATTGAACCGATTCGCTGTGTTTACATGGTACTTCACTTTGATAACTTTGGCAGTAACACTGACAACGATATTTAACTTAATATTTGACCTTATATATATTTTTCCGAACATTTTAGGGAAATGTCTGTAACTTATACATTTAACGTTATCTAACGTTATGTATATGTAAGGAGTAAACAAGAATAGGAGCACCGAGATGAAACTCAAAAGAAGAATATAGTTTTATTACAAACATTTGAAAACAGAAGTAGTTTAAAACCAATTCGCCACTAAAAAGAAATGACAGCGTTTTAAGGTATTAAGTGAATCTGGTAATCGAAAACAACAGTTCAATCGAACCGACTCGCTGACAAGAATCGAGCGTTATTTTGTTGCTGTGTGTTTGTTGCGCTCGAGAGCTACCATGCTGACACGCGCTCCGACGCACCGAATAGTCACAACAAATGCGCGTTTGTCACCTTTTGTCGGATAAAAAACGTCTCGTCCTCCGTGTGTCTTCAACAATAAAACAAGCTAGTGTTGGGGGAAGGGAAAAGCTCAGCTGAGACAGACCCCTTGTGGCTCAAAACAGATATTGTTCGTGATTTTGTTTGTAAAGTAAACTTTCAACTTGCAGAGTATTTAGTTGAAACTTCTGTTTCTGTGTGTTATCGGTTCTTGGCACGGGTTGTTTGTGTGGATGTGCACATTTGGAAGGCTGTTTGAAACGATAATCCCGCATTAATTTAATATTTATCGTGATATTATGGTTTTTTGGACATGTACCATGGTACTGTACTGTATATGTTTAGTAATTTTAGCAGGTTCCATGCTGCTGTTACCGTCTGATGTCATCAGTAAGACTACAATACTTTTTGCAAGGGTGTTCCGTTTAATTATCATGTTCTGTACTAGTTGTCAAGAATGCTAGCAGTTTTTTGAATAATAAGTATTAGATAGTGGCTTGTCCTCTGACAATGAATTTGGTCTGCACTCAACATCCTTTGTTGTTATGATTTTTGAGTGCATTATGTCTCTATTTAATTTTACTTTGCAAACCTTTCAGTTACAGATTGATTTAATGCAGGTTTCCCACAGTCACTGAAATCCTGGAATCAATCATTTTAAAAACGTGATTGGATTTCTGTGCGTTTCATGACATCTGGACATCTCTACAATCGTTTTGTTTCTAGTTAAGCGAGTTCTAAAATAACTTAGTATTTTAATATTTGTATAATTTCAATATAATGTTGAAAAATTCTTTTAAAAAATCGTAAAAAAAATTACATTGTCCTATGCTAATTTTAGGACATTCCAGGTTTGGGATCATATTAGTACTATTTTATCACTTTTAAAGTCATAAGTCATATACATTATCATATATATATATAATCAGTTACATTTTTGTGAGCAAAACTTGTTCACAAGCTATAGTGATGTATTATTCATGGCTGAGTGAGTGTTCTTTTAAATGAATCATCAAACTGATTCACAAATCGTTCTGAATGATTCATTACTGATTTGTTCTGAATTTGTATGCTTTTAAAAAAATCTCATCCAGTATTTAGCAATTGACTGGAAAAGGTCATGGAAATGATTTGGTTATAAAGTATTGGAATAGCATGATTCCATACTTTTGGCTAACTCTTTATTTTCTTATCTTGCATGATTTTGGGTGGTGTAAACGGTGGCTATGTTTGAATCATAGACTTATTTAGTCAGCAGAGAGGTTTGAATGACATCAGGGAGGAGAGGATGAAGAATTTGGAAGATGACATTGACATGAGTCCTTCGTTCACCGGGTCAATAGAGGATGACGAAGTCTGTCACTTTCAGGTGACTTGTGGCCTCAGCTGTGATATTGCATCAGGTGTCCCTAGTGCAGATCGTATTTGAGTGTGGACTTGCCATGATCATAATTCTCCCTGTGTATTCTGCATGCTCGTGCAAGCTTTTTAATATCCTACACACCTCTGCCTGTTATAGAAAGAGCCCAGCAGTGATGTTAATAGCAGTAGCCCACGTTTGTCCCCACCTCCCAAGCGGACACGCAGGCAGACGCCACCAAGTTCTACTGATACTTCTCCAAGTCCCCAGAGTAAAGGCCAGAGAGGCTCATCATGGACCATGTCCAAACACTGTACCAGGTGAGGTCGATGTAGTTGCATGATTAATACTTATTTTTTTGTGGTATTTTGATGATCTAATCCCATTATAATCAGTGTTGCTTGCTTTTAGTGTATATTGGCTTTTAAACTGTCTACATGGTAAATGAGCAACATGAGATGAAGCAAATTTAAACATAATTTTCAATATATTTTGACAAAATGTATTTAGAAAAGAATTGCTGTTTTTACTCAAAGAAAAAGATTAGGTGTTTCTGATAATAATGCACCAAAACAAGGATTTTCTCATGCATTTCCTTGTCTTCCAGGTTGTCCACTGGTGCCTTGCAGAATGGACACAGTAAGTGTATATTAGTGTATTCATTTTAATTTACTGAATCATTCTTTATTGAAAGCTTTAAAGGAAGAGTCACCCAATATTGGGGAACACGCATCCAATGTCTTTCCCAGTTATGTCAAAAGTGAACATAAACAGCTGACTGTGTATTTTGTGTGGATACACTACCAAGATGGGATTTGGACTTAATTTTGTGTATTTTTGACCATTCAAGCTCAATAAGTCATGAAAGAGAACTTTAAGGTTGTATTAGCGATTGTGGGTAACGTCACTTCTGTTTGTGTTTGAAACAAGATCCCAAACAAACCACTTTAGCTCGCCCCTCTGTGCATCATGAAAAAAACAATCATGCACGCGCATTTCTTAAAGCGACAAAAACACACTTTTTCCAGATTGATGGTCTACCTCAATGATGGCTCATTCTGTGAACTGTAATGCTTTCGATTACAAAGTGATCTAAAATCTGCAGTTGAGCCATGTCATATCATACAGCTAGTTTTGCTGGTGCTTCACTGGAAGCAGCAATATGATAAAACGTACCAGAATCAGTCATATAGCTGCAGATCTAACGTTGTGGGGAAAACTTATGGTAACAACAGCTATCTGGAATAATATTATAACAGCTTGTTTTTATTATTCGGCTAAAGTTAGTCCTGAACGTAGGCTAGTGTTATTGCTAATACATCAAAGTAGACGCATATAACATACGCAACTCACACACTAAATCCCTACAATCTGATATTCGCTAGAGCTATCCACGTTTGGTTGACCTTCACCCTCATATTTTTGTAAAGAATTATATTTTTACACACGGTTCACATTAGGGATGCATCGATATGAACATTTTGGCCGATACCGATAATTCTTTATGCTTGAAAGCCGATAACCGATATATTGGCCGATAAATCTAAATCTAAATTTTTTTTTTTCATTTTTGAGAGTCTGATTACAAAAACAAAAGTCTCACCATTAAAATCCATATCCCAATCACATCATATAGTTTACATGGACTATATGACAGACTTGTGCTGCACTAAACTGTATTTTCATTTCAAGCAATTCCAAACCATCATGTTGAACAGTGCATCTGAAGCGTCTCAGGTGAAAGAAATAATACATTAATTATCAACTTTAATATATCGGCCTAATTTTCTTATCAGGCCGATAACGATAACACTAAAAATTAACATATATCGGCCGATACCGATATGGCGGCCGATATATCGTGCATCACTAGTTCACGTACAAAAAAGTAAACACTAGAAGCTACTCACCTGTCCAGGAGAAACGTCCGATTTAAATTTTTGTTCAATTCTTTGAGTTCGTTCCACCGTTCAAAAGCCTTCCCGATTATCATTTGTTTCTTTGACGAAAAACGACGGTATTCCTTCGCCCTAATCCTCATCCTTTTCTTGGGGATTGCCTCCTCCATGTTAAATGTTTGTGGTCCATTGATAGCATAGGGTTGATTCTTCAGCTCCGAACTTCGCATGCAGGCACCATGAATGAGCGCAAAAACAAACACCCGCCCCTGTCGTGATTGGTTAGATCACTGTTAATTTTGATTTTGAGTGGTGGTTGTACCCATTTGTTTCTGTGTGATCTCAGAGCCTAGGCTGTCTACAGAGACACGTTTTTTTACAGCCTGCTTATGGTGGTTTGTTAGGAAAGATTAGATGAATGTGATGTGATCATTTTTGTTTGCTCCTGGAATGGCTGATACAACCTTTAATTTGGTACTCTGTTGAACTGTAACACTCAAAACAAATAGACATCATTTAGATGAGTTACATCAGGTTTGATGTCAATAATGTCTGGTCATGAAACATATGAGGGTACACTTGATGTTCATCAGAGGATGACTTTAGTAACCCTCTTTTTTAACGCATAGGTCGAATGAGTCTGAGAGGTGATTCTACATCAGAGGGGGACCATGGTCGTATGAACGGTCATGTTGAGCTCAAGAGGAGCCGTCGCATCAGGAAGTCCCAATTCGAACACCTTAATCAGAGTTTACTTTTCGACCAACTTGTCAACAGGTAAAATCTGATCCTATGTGTGATGATGATAGTTTCCTTGAAATGAATTTCCAAACTTTCTCTCAAGTGCAAAAAGACCATTTATTGCCAATGACCTTATGAAACGGCTTGTAACAGACATGTCATAAAAATGAGCGCATGATTAACTGCATTTACACGTCTAGCCCAAACAGTCAGCAAATAATTTATCTCCTGGTTGTGTGTCTGTAAAGTTATTGAGCGTCAAATGATGTTGGATGGTACTTTTCCGCTTCACGACTACATACCAACTAGAATTGCACCCCAGTAAGAGCTCACAGTTCGAAATCATGTTCTGTTTGGACTTAGTGTGCGTACGTTATAATTCCCTCATGGTTTGAGTAGCTAGTGTATAATTAGTAAGACATCTGAAGCCCACAAAGTTTACTCTTGCAGAACTCAAGAACTAAAACAAGACAATATACAGTTCATGAGCTGATCTAGAAGTGAGCTCGCTATGTGTGGTGATGCCAGTTGTTCAGCTTGCATTGATGCACATAATGGTTTCTGATATAATTGGTGATTCCCAGTCAAGGCTACATGTATCCCAGGGGTACTTAAGCAGGTTCTGGCTGTACTTGAAAAGATATAGACTTTGCTTCATTAAACGTGTAAGTCATTGTCAAATTTTTTGCGAATGACATGCATCTGCCTTTGGTAATATTTCACACGCGTTTGAGCTTCTGTGTTTTTTAAATTCCACCATTTTGATATAAAGGCTGCACTTAAATCTCATCTTGAGCTCTTTTATACTGTAAATAAATCTGCTGTCATGTCTTTCTCAGAGATTTGGGGTTTAACGTTAATGAACATATTGCATATTTACACTGGCACGGAGTGGCAAGTCCAATATGAGCAAAGCAACACACTCACGCTGTGGATTGTAGGATTGACAGCAGATTTGGAGACTGTTGAAAGCATCGAAATGTTCATAAATGCTCAACTTTATGCAAATGCCAAGCAAAAAACGTCAGGTGGCAGCCAATCATTGTGAGGTGCAGGTAGTGATGTTGGTCATGAGCAGTTAAAAATATGCAAGTTTTTAGTATTGCTGTGTCGATGTTGTCATTGAGAATAGATTAGGTTGGGTTAATTTGACCGTATTTTTATTGGGAAACTAAGCTTGCATCTTTCCAACTGTAATTTAATGTAGGCTATATGATGATTTTGTCCGTGTCGTGAACAAAAAAATTAAACGCACTCATTTCAGACACACCCCAAAGCTTTTTGAGCGGCACTGAGCTGAGTTTTGTACCATTACAAATGCGACAAGATAACGTTGAAATGCAATTTTAACCAATGGATTTACTAGGCTGTGTCCTATCAAGGATTTTAGTGTGAGCTAACAGTTGCTGCTAGTCAAAGACAGATGGTGGAAGTGTATTGGAGAGAGGAGACCTGCTGGTGTGGCACATGATGAATGGGCTGAGCTGCTCTACTTGTTCTTAGTAAACCTCTTTATGAACTCTCTACTGATTAATGATTTTTACTATTTTTTTTAAATATCTCAATATGTTTGTGTATCACAGTTCGAGAACTATTGTTTTATTAGACTAAAATTGTTGAATGCATGTAACTCTTGTGTCTAGAGTTGTCAAAAGTCGCTTCTGGACATTTCCCTCTTGCATTTTGAGCGCTGTTGAATGGATTCTTAAACACTTCTGATTGGCCACAGTGTTGATGTGCTCAACATAAGTCTCTGATTGGCCATTGTGTTGACGCGCTCAACAACTATGTCTGTGATTGGCTACAATAGTCAAGAACAATGACAACTTTGACGCTCTTCATCGAGTACTTGCACTGATAGACACAGGAGCGTTTGAAAGCGGCGTCCATCAGTGGATCCGTCTCAGCAGATATATTAGGGATACATGTGTATCTATATGAGCGCTTGGAAATTTAAAAATTATAAAAAATAAAAAAAAACATTACATTTTTTTTACAACTCTACTTGTCTGTTGTTAGTACGGCAGAAGCAGTTCTTCAAGAGATGGACAACATCAGCAGCATACGGCAGAATCGGGAAGTGGAGCGCCTCCGCATGTGGACGGACACTGAACTGGTGACTCCTCTTATCCTTTAACTGATTACACAGCAGAACAATTGGGCTGCCTTGTTTTCCATCTCATTAAGCAAACGATTGCCCACATTGAGGTTATTAAAATCCTCCTGTGTTACTTTGAAGCATTGGCCTCTCTCTTCAGTGTGGGCTGTGAACCCACTGATGAGTCAAATCGCATACTACAAACAACTTTGCTCCATTGATTCTTCTCCATATATCTCATTTATATGTTTATTTATTTATTTATTTATTTTCTATAATTGGTTCAGGAAAACATGGACATGTACTCCCGTGTGAAGAGGAGGAAGTCTTTGCGGAGGAACACATATGGAATGCAGGGGCATCACAAAGTCATGAGCAAATCAAAGGACCCTGAAGAGGAGGAAGGAACTGAAGGTATATGTGGATTGTGCACTTATGTGGAGAACAAATAATGGTAGAGAACAAGATATAACATTTGTACTGTGGTATATTATTATATAAAAAATCTGGCACCAAACAAAAAGAGTACTGCTTTGAAAACTGTTGCAAACAGTACTTTCAGTGCAGACAGCTTTGTTATTATAATATTGTAGTTATGACGTGTCATCATGCAAGTTGTCTGGTGTAGGTTTGTTGGTAGGCCGATATATTGGAAAGGCTGAGAAATCGGCCAATATTTGGCATTTTTTTAAAGGTTAGTGGTAGTAGGCCAATATATCAGAAAGACTGAGATATCGGCCAAAATTTGTCATTTTTTTAAAGTTTAGTGGTAGGCCGATATATCAGAAAGACTGAGATATCAGTCAATATTTGGCTTTTTTTAAAGGTTAGTGGTAGGCCGATATATTGGAAAGGCTGAGGTATCGGCCAATATTTGGCATTTTTTAAAGGTTAGTGGAAGGCCGATATATCGGAAAGGCTAAGATAACAGCTAATGTTTGGCATTTTTTTTTAAGTTTAGTGGTTGGCCGATATATTGGAAAGGCTATATTGGGTAAAAGTTCTATAAAAGCTGAGGTATCGGCCAATATTTGACTTTTTTTAAAGGTTAGTGGTATGCCGATATATCGGAAAGGCTGAGATATCGGCCAATATTTGGCATTTTTTTAAAGGTTAGTGGTAGACCGATATATCGGAAAGGCTGAGGTATCGGCCAATATTTGGCATTTTTTCTTAAAGGTTAGTGGAAGGCCGATATATCGGAAAGACTGAGATAACAGCTAATGTTTGGCATTTTTTTAAAGGTTAGTGGTAGGCCGATATATCAGAAAGACTGAGGTATTGGCCAATATTTGGCATTTTTTTAAAGGTTACTGGTCGGCCGATATATCGGAAAGGCTGAGATATCGGCCAATATTTGGCCTTTTTTTTTAAAGGTTAGTGGAAGGCCGATATATCGGAAAGGCTGAGATAACAGCTAATGTTTGGCATTTTTTCTTAAAGGTTAGTGGTAGGCCGATATATCAGAAAGGCTGAGGTATCTGCCAATATTTGGCATTTTTTTATTAAAGGTTAGTGGTAGGCCGATATATCAGAAAGGCTGAGGTATTGGCCAATATTTGGCAATTTCTTTTAAAGGTTAGTGGTAGGCCGATATATCAGAAAGGCTGAGGTATCGGCCAATGTTTGGCATTTTTTTAAAGGTTAGTGGTAGGCCGATATATCGGAAAGGCTGAGGTATTGGCCAATATTTGGCAATTTCTTTTAAAGGTTAGTGGAAGGCCGATATATCAGAAAGACTGAGGTATCGGCCAATGTTTGGCATTTTTTTAAAGGTTAGTGGTAGGCCGATATATCAGAAAGACTGAGATATCGGCCATTATTAAATATCGGCATTGGACGATGAGCTTTCTAGTTTAGCCAACGTGTCGGAACAGTCCTCTTTCTCATTTTTAAGAGTCTCATGAGGAGGGAGAGGAGGATGAAGATGTGGAGGCTGATGATGATGAAGACGATGAAGGAGACGAGGCAGAAGAGGTTGGAGAGGAGAACGACAGACCTTATAACCTCAGGCAGCGTAAAACTGTGCAACGATATGAAGCTCCCCCAATAGGTACTCTCTTCAGACACATTCACACAAAGCTCTCTATTCTCACTCTCTACGTCTCACACAAACGCAAGCCAATTATTGAAATATTTTAAATGATGATTTTAGCCTTTTGAATGTGTTTGTTCTCAGAGCCAGTGAACAGGAAGCAAAGCAAGGGCTCGCTGTTCGACACACACCGATCGCCTGCAAGAAGAAGCCATATTAGGTGAATAATGGTTATTTGCAGCTCTCCAGATATTTCTGTCCTTATATCATTTTTTATGATTTTTGGAGGGATATTTATAATTTTTTTTATCACCAGAGTAAAGAAACATGCCATTCACAGCAGTGAATCAACATCATCATCAGACGAAGAGCGCTTTGAAAGGCGGAAAGGCAAAAGCATGAGCCGAGCTCGTAACAGGTGATATTACCAAATTGTTTATTCACACAATTCGTGGCTTGTTATAGAGTGGAAGTGTGTGAACTTTTAATAAGGTTTAATGTTGATCTGTTATTTGTCTATATTGTGTGAACAGGTGCCTACCCATGAACCTGCGGGCAGAGGATTTGGCTAGCGGTGTTCTTCGCGACCGAGTAAAAGTGGGTGCCAGTTTAGCGGATGTGGATCCCATGAATCTGGACACTTCTGTGAGTCTTGGAGTTTTATACTCATGCTCATTCAATTTATTATCATCTCCTTGACGCTTCATTGATTTCCATTGAGGAAAAAGATGCTTTGTGGGCTAGCATATGTTCTTGTCTCTTTCAATGCAGGTGAAGTTTGACAGTGTTGGAGGTCTCACCCACCACATCCAGTCTTTGAAAGAAATGGTCGTCTTTCCTCTACTATATCCAGAAGTGTTTGAAAAGTTTAAGATCCAGCCTCCAAGGTGTGGCTTATTCCTTACATGATTTTTTGTGTGTAATATGCATCATGTGCTTTGACACCAACAGTTTTCCCCCCTCTTTGCAGAGGATGTCTGTTCTATGGACCTCCAGGAACTGGGAAGACGCTGGTGGCGCGGGCTTTGGCTAATGAATGCAGTCAGGGAGACAGGAAGGTGTCTTTTTTCATGCGCAAGGGCGCCGACTGCCTCAGCAAATGGGTGGGAGAGTCTGAGCGACAGCTCCGCCTACTTTTTGACCAGGTGACCTCGCAGACAACCTCACAACCCTGATCCCAGTATGACCTTGAGCTAGTTTATGTTGTCTGTGAAGTGATGAACATATATACATATACCATTTACGGGTCCAAACATCCACTTGTTTCCAGAGAGAATACTATCTCAACAGCTGTTTATGATCACTATTTATTCATATTACACATTTAAAGGGATACTCCACTTTTTTGGGAAATAGGCTCATTTTACCACTCCCCCGAGTTAAACGGTTGGGTTTTACCGTTTTCGAATCCATTCAGCCGATTTTCTGATATTTAGAAGAATATCAGTCACCAGACAGTTTCTGGTCTCATTGACTTCCATAGTATATATTTTTTTCCTACTATGGAAGTCAATGAGACCAGAAACTGTCCGGTTACTGATATTCTTCTAAATATCAGAAAATCGCCTGAATGGATTAGAAAACTGTAAAACTCAAACGTTTAACCCTGAGGGAGTTGTAAAATGAGCCTATTTCCCAAAAAAGTGGAGTATCCCTTTAAGGTAAGCTTTTATAAACTCATGGTGTGCACTACATTCTCTGGGTTCACAGAGAGAGACACACCAATATTTTAATATTTAATGAGTTTGCAGTTTTAAATCCAATTTGTCATTTACATAATAATAATATTAAAATGTATTTCACTAGTGAAAAATCTAGATTTCATTGACTGATTGATTTGATATGTTATTAGAATAAATCATATAATTATGCTATTTACAGTTATGTTATGATTTTTTCACAATTTTAGGGAAACATATTTGCACCTGGCACTCTATACAATTTATTATTTTTTCCACTGTAGAATCATAAAACAGGATATTATTAGGATATGTGATTGTCCAGCAGCCACACACCTAACGCTTCTTGTCCTTCTGGCAGGCATACCTCATGAGACCTTCCATCATCTTTTTCGATGAGATTGATGGCCTCGCTCCTGTTCGCTCCAGCAGACAGGATCAAATTCACAGGTAATGCATTCAAATGAATATGGCGAGCATTGCAGAAGGTTTCATCATCAGGATTAGGAAGGAATCCGATAGTTTCCACACAAAGGGTTTTGGTATTACATGTAATGTATCATGGAAAACAAGATATTTCTTGCTCGTTTGAAATGAGTTAGATGTCCTACACGCATGTACACATCAACACCTTTTCATTTTACATGCAATTGTTTAGCTCCATAGTGTCCACATTACTGGCATTGATGGATGGTTTGGACAGCCGGGGGGAGATAGTGGTCATCGGTGCTACAAACAGACTCGACTCTATCGACCCTGCACTCAGGAGGCCCGGACGCTTTGACCGGGAGTTTCTGTTCAACCTGCCAGATAAAAAGGTGCACAAATCCTTTTTTTACTTTACCTGGTATTGTGTTGGTTGCCTGCAGCCATCCTTGGTGTCCTCCCTCAAAACACTTATCCTGAAATAGTCTGACAGCTCAGTTTCTTGTCTTTCGGAGCCTTTTTGGCCTTTGAAATGCATCTTATCTGATAATCTCTCATGTTCTGTTTGTCAAGCTCGTTGAATGGAATGCCAATTAAATTTGATGAGTTCGGTTTAGCATGCTGCTCACTGCTGATATCTGGGCATTCCTGCTTTAGTTCAACACATTTCATGACTGGTGTTGAAGCCATTAACGTTACCTTTAAACATCACTTTTACAGTCAAGCTAAGTATTTAGCACTCCAAGCTGTACATAAATAGATGCTAACTACATATAAGACTTTAAGGGAAATATGTTTGTAAATTTGTAGCATATATTTTTTTTTTCCTTTGTCCACCAGTCAGAACAGTTCTGCACTATCTGCACAAAAATGAGGATTTCAAATAGTGTGCTAGCTACGTAGCATTTGAAAAATCAGTGTGCTCTAAATACCATCAATCAAACCAGAAAACATTCAAAGACTCAATGATGATCAGTATTACAGAGTATTATTATTGTAATATACATATAATATCATATTATTTTGTGAAGGATCCAAGAGTGTGAAATGCATTGAAAATCTGGTATTTAAAATTTCATTAACCTTAAAATATAAACTTTTTAAAAAATGTAAAGCATATTATTTTAGTGAAAAAAACCCCATTTAATTGTAAACATAAAAAAGATATTTTCATTAATGATCTCAGACCTCAAATATAATTTTTTGTATATCATTTCATCTATTTATTATTCAGTTATTAATTGAAAAACTTTGTAGGGCTGTCAAACGATTAATTGCGATTAATCGCATCCAAAAAATAAAAGTTTTTGTTTACATAATATATGAAGGTGCACTGTGTATAATTATTTTATATATATATAAATACACACACATGCTTGTATATATTTAAGAAATATATATATATATATATATACAAAATAATTATACACAGTGCACCCACATATATTATGTAAACACAAACTTTTATTTTGGATGCGATTAATCGTTTGACAGCCCTAATAATTTGTAATAAATGTATTCAATTGCTAAATATATTCACCCTGTATAAAGCTAGAAAATGCCACATCTTCTTATATAATTGTCAAACATAGTTACACCCCGGCTTGTAACATCAGGTCAGGTCTGTGCTACTCTTATTTCTGGATGTGTATATTGTGTCTTCACAGCAGGGTGCTGGCTAATCAAACGCTAACTCTTATGTTTTCTCCAGCCCCTTTGTTAAGAGTTTATGATCAAAACAGTTTGGTTGTGCTTGGTTTCATCTGTAAACTGTCTGTGTTTGTGTGTATGCTCACCAACAGGCCCGAAAGCACATTCTAGAAATCCACACCAGGGACTGGAGCCCCAGGCTAGCCGAACCCTTCATAAATGAGCTAGCCGAGAAATGTGTCGGTAAGATGGATGCAAAAGTCATGATTTTCTAGCTTCAGCTCTACACTTCATCCCATAGGTGCAAAGTTGAATGTGTTTTGGGTTTCTTTCTTTCCATAAAAACGCCAGTCAGAACATGTTTGATGTTTAATCTATGTTCAAAGTCAGATGTGGGCTATTACAACTTAATATCTCTGGATCACAAAGTGTTTTGCTGTCTGATACTCAGAAGATGAAATTAATGGAAATGCCATAATAAGAACATTTACTTTGTTTTACACACCTGTCTCGGGTGTCAGTGTTTATTCATTAGGTTTTATTATTTTTAATGCAGGAACATAGATTCACTGATGCATTTTATTTACTTAAAAGTGAATAAACAGAGTGTCTTAAAGTGTATTCCGATATTGCCATGTTTGTCTGTAATTTACAGTATAAATGGTGTGTGTGTGTAATATATATATATATATACACACACACACAAAATTTGAATCATTTTAAATACATTTTTGTTAAAAAATAATTTTTAATCTACCATTTCATTTTTTGCACTTTTATCAATTAACATTAAAATAAAATTATAAATATAAAATAAAAAATATATAAAAATATAATATTATATATTAGATTATATAATATTATATAAAATAAAATGATACATATATAGATAATAATAATAATAATTTTAATCATTTTAAATACAATTTTATTAAAAAATCATTTTTAATTTTAAACCATTTAATTTTTTGCACTTACATTTTAAAATTACGTTTTCCCTTTGAGTTGAATGGAACACTGCATTAATAATTCTACTGTTAGCAAGGCTATAATGAAAACATAGTACTGCCTTTTTAATATTAATATACCTATTTATTTTTGTGTAATATTTACAGCTAGCTAATATGTCCATATCTCTACATAGTGACAATCGCGTGTCAAACTCTGCTGTCTCCCCGTGTCTCAGGTTACTGTGGGGCCGACATCAAAGCACTTTGCACAGAGGCTGCGCTAGCGGCTCTGCGGCGGCGCTATCCTCAGATCTACGCCACCAGCCAGCGCTTTCAGCTGGACGTGGGCTCCATCGTTTTGGGGGCGCAGGACTTTGGTCGTGCCCTTCGCTCCATAGTACCTGCGGGCCAGAGGGCTGTGGCTCCGCCCGGCCAGGCCCTTTCCTGCGTCTTGAAGCCCCTGCTGGAGCCCACGCTGGCTCAAATGCTTGCCTGCTTGATGCGAGTCTTCCCCCACGCAGAGCTCCTGCACAGGGAACACACACACGGTATGCCCTCCATTTCCTGCTCATGAGTTTTATTTTGTTCGCTGAGTTATTTCTTTTATACATCACAGGTACAAAAATTGCTTTTTGTCTTTTCCCTTCTTTTCTCATTTAGGTGTTTCGTCATCCATTTAAATCTATTTTTTGTACCTTACGTACAGAGCTTTTATAATTACCACCTCATATTTCTGCTGGGAATAGAATTTTCCCAGTGTTTTTAATGACTGCCCTCTTTGTAGTAATGTGTCTCCAATCCCTCCATTTTAGTCTTGAGTTTTTGCTTTGCTGTAGTTATATTGTTAAACTGCTTATTTGAAGTGAAACATTGTATGAAATGTTAGAGATGATTGATAAATTGATTAATACATTTTAAAGATTATTGATAACTGGTGAGAAATTAAATGAAACAGGAAATCAAAATGTACCTATTTTTTAGGTTGATGAATAATATAGATATTTTATAAATGGTAAATTTTTCAATTAGAGCAATCTTTTTCCTCTAGAACAGTGGTCTTCTTCACTTTTTTTTTCATGAGAGCCACACTGATTGGACAAACTCAGTAGGAGAGCCAATTTTACCGCTGAGTATCAAAAGTTACATACACCAAGTCATAAATATCATGTCTGCTTATCAATCAGTCATCCCTGAACATACAATATGCATTGCAATAAATACAAAAAGGGCAGGGGAAAAAACATTCTTTATGATTTAATAGTCAAATTTGTAACTGAGACAAGATGATTTCCCTTAATGACAAAAAAGCAGGATTTCTACAATATATTCATCCCAGAAAATTGTTATTTTTTTCTACATTAGCCCATCATGCATCTAACCATTCCGACTGATGAATCTGAATGTATTGTGGTTTGTCTGAATGCTAAACACGTCATTTATTGACATGCCGCACACTGCACAAATACACAGTTTCCCGCTGTTTGTGCTTAATAACCTTCTTCTACATTGTTTTTTTGTTTTAAACAGCAGACTTATATTGTACTTATAATATTCATCCATTTCTGTTCTTAATTTGGACACTAAGGAACTGTTGTGCTGTGCTGCTTATATTTATCACGCACTAAAAATGCCCAAAGCTAGTCGTTTGTGGATGAGAATCCAAAACAAGTTATAGCACTTCTTGCTTTTAATGTTTTTATGAAATATCTGTAGTGACTGCATGATCATATCACCGCATTATTTACCGCCATGCGAGCCACAAATTAAAGCTTGGCGAGAACGCTGCTCTAGAATGACTTAAACTATTTTCCCTACTCTATATTTGATTTGGGAGGGAACTATTATTAACATTATTATTTTTCCCAGTATTTTCATTTAAAAAAAATGTAGACAGAATTGAGCGGGTAGGACTAGATCTCCCCAAGCTATCTTTGTATAATTATGCATTTTTTATGAGGCACCTGTTACAATGGATGTTACCATTGCCATGGAAAAAATCTGTTGTTTTGCTTTTACCTTTTAAGTCCGGCTTATTAATGACAAAACTTCCACTGCCGGTGGGTAATTACCCGATTATTTCCCATCTCCAAACACTTTGGGAAAGACCTCCCGCATTTTGGGGTGTTGAGCCTTTTTTAAGCTCTCCGTCTGCTATCTGGGTCAATCCAATGTTGTTAATAGATGGAACACCTGTGTTATGGTAGAAATGAGTAGATAAAAATATCCGTGTTCTGGAAGATGCATTGATCTCTTTCTGAGAGACTTTCCTAATGATCAGTTCTGGAAATATCTACAAATGAGACACATGCTCACAAGTATCTTTGCCTCCCCCTCACAGGCTCCCAGGGGTAAAAACACTCTCATGATGATCTGGAATATCATGGGTACTGGCCATGAGGCATCGAAATAATGTTAAAGCTAAAATATTAACTCTGCCGTTAAGATAATTTGGGATGCACAAAAGATGATGAAGAATAGGTGAGGATCACTGGAAATATTAAAACTGATCTATAGATATACTGTACTGGAACTGCAATTAAAAATTTTACACACATTATACTGAAAACCCAGAAGGCTGTTTAGAGATAATCCTGAATTTTGGCAATGCCAGAGAGAGGAGGGGAACCTATTTCATGTCTTGTGGCAATGCTCAGAAGTCCAGTATTTTTGGAGAGAGGTGCATGATTATATTTTAAAGATATCACAGATCAGTAGGATCTCTTTCCTAGTTTATACATTCTTGGTCATGTTAAAAAGTTTGAATCACAGTGGATACAGAGCTGCATCATGATGGGTAGACGTGTGATTGTTAAAGTTGAAAATCTTCCGGAAGGCCTCCGATTTGTGTGTGACTTTCAGATTTAGGACAGGTGGCAGCCCTTGAAAAACTCTGATGTTTACTTTGATATATGGGGGAAAATGTAGCTTTTCTGTAACACACAGTAGTAGCAGGCATGTGGTGAGATAAAAATAATGGTCATGGTAAACATGATATAGCTCCTAATAGGAACTTATGGTGTTGGCAACACCTCTGCCCCTCTTTATATATATATTGTTACATTAAGAACTATTTGCTTATTTATTTATGGTTATTTGGTTTGCTTTTGTTTTTCTGAAGTGAATACCCTTTTTTATGTTTGTTGATATTATGTAATAAATTCCAGTTAAATTGAAACTTATTTTGAAATACTTGTTTTTGTGTGTAATCAGTGTTTTTTTTTTTTTTTTTTTTTTTTTTTTTTTGCAATCCTGGGTTGTTTGATTTTTGTCAGTTTTAGAAAACTGTCTGGCGCCCGAATTTGGAAATTTGTTTTATAATTTAAGTTAAGGGTAGCCACCACCTCTGTTACAATTTACAAATGTTATTATTCATTTGTTTACTCACTTATTTATATTGTTAGGATTTATTGACTAACTCCTTTGTTTTATGTATATTTTTGTTTTAGTGGTTTGTTTATGTCAATACATAACTATTTATATTATTTATTGGTTGCAAATAAGGAAATCAAGTACAAATTTTATAAGAAAAGTCAATTTAGAAAGAGTAGATTTGCAAGAATATGCCTCCATGCCTTTATAAACTTCTCTCAAGAATACATTTGTAAAGAAAAGATAAAAATCAGGTAAATATCTCAAGTTCTCAAGAGAAAGTGCCAACTACAAGAGCTAAGATTTTCCTGATTTTAATAATGTTTTACAAATGCATTACTGAGGGAAGGGATTTATTTAATAAATAATAACATAATTATTATTTTATTTTACTTTCCTTTCCCCAACATTAATGCATGAAATTGAACCACAATTTCTTGCTGAATATTCTGTTTTCATTTATTTTTCCCCGTAAAGCACCGTGATAGAAATGGCAGCATTTAAAGTTTCTTGCCTGTGATTTCAGACTTGGACAATCATCTGTTGGTGGAGGACTCGTATAGCGAGGACGAGGAATGTCTTGGTGCTCCTTCCATTTATGAAACTCAGCCAGGATCGCCGAAGAAAGCAGCTTCCTGCACCACCCATAAACCCTTTCTCCACTTTACCACGTGAGTTAAATTCATACAGAACTCTGTCGTCATCCTCAGCACCCTTTTGATTAATCCATACACTGAGACCCTTCATTTATTATGGTTATGCATAATTAACATTGTCATGAACAATCATTATCTTTTAGAATTAGAATATTAGATATTGTTTTTATTGTAATGTAAGTTTAATTGTATTTTGATTAATTTTTTTTACCATGAATATATCCTTCAATCCTGATATGGCAATAGAAAATAAACAACAAACAAAATGCAGAGAGCTTTATTTAATATGCAAGCGCTGTGTTTTGCTGCCATCTGTTGGAATGCTGTAGAACTGACAGTCAGCACTGAGATGTCTTTTTCCTCAGCAGACCTACTTCAATCTCATTTGCATTGATTTGTTCTTCATGGTTCAGTGGTTGCGTTTTATGACATTCGCTTGAGATCATCAATACTTGCAGCTCCTCACACTTAAATGAGATGTTGGCAAGTGGTTCATCTCAATATATTAATATACAGTATAGATGTCAAATGCATGGACATTTGTCGTCCCTAAAGAGCTGCCAACTTTATCAATTACCTTTATTTCTCTTCATTACATTATTGGAGTTTTAGTCAGTCATCATAGCTTGATTCTGCTTGTCAGCAACTCTTCCTTAATTCAGAATCTGAGGTTGTGTCTCGATAGATAGATAGATAGATAGATAGATAGATAGATAGATAGATAATGACCTTTTTTATTTTGTTTCAGTTCTGCCTACCAGCAGCCCACCTCTTACCGGCCACGGCTGCTGCTGACGGGGCCCCAGGGCGCGGGGCAGAGCACACACCTGGCCCCTGCTGTGCTGCACCACCTGGAGAAGTTCACTGTGCACCGTCTTGACCTTCCCACACTATACTCCGTCAGTGCCAAAACCCCAGAGGAGTCCTGTGCTCAGGCAAGCAGAGACACAATCACTTTTAAATATTTCACACAGCCTGTGAGTGGGGCTGTAGGCTTGTAGTATTAACACTCTTGTATTCTTAATTTTAGAGCAGCTCAGCCATTTGTAGCATAAATGTGCGAGGCTTCCAGTAATTTTTCCTGTACCAAAACGGCAGTTTGCAACATGGAGCAGCATAGCAGACTATTTCTATCATGTTATTTTAATTTATTATATAAACATTAAAACACTGGTCTGTAGCACAAATAGTTTGACCTATTTTGTTAATCGTCTAGTTATTTACATATGAAAGCTAATCAATCAGAAATCTAGAAAATAGCTTGCTTCTGTTTTTCAAAAAATAAGGTAGCTGCTTTGGAAACACTTTATAACATTTATTGATAAGTCAGTAACTAACAAAGATTAGATTTGATGTGTGTGTATATATATATATATATAAATATTAGGGCTGTCAGTTAAACGCGTTAACGATGTTAACGCAAACCAGTGTTTTTTTTTTTTTTATCGTGCGATTAACGGTCTTTTTGGCCTAGCAAACTTTGTCATTTTTTTCCACATGCTTTTGCGACAGGACGCGGCATGCGCGCGCTGCACTTTGAAACCCATTATTTTCAATGGCTTGCGCCACGTCACATTTTGTTGCTTCATCGACCAAAGCGCAAGCAGATCTTGCTAGACCAGAAACAAAACAACAGGCACGCTGCACACACTTGTTTGGGCTTGCGAGCCGGCCAAATAGTTGGTTAATGTTACGTTTTGAGTGGATGGTGAGCGCGAGACGTTGAAATGGATGCCAATAAGATTCTGAATGAAAAGTTTACTTTAAAAACTTAAAAAGTAAAAACTTAAAAAGTAAAAACTTGAAGTAAAAACTTAAAAAGTAAAAACTTAAAGTAAAAACTTGTCAAATTTTTAAATTGACAAGACCATAGTCATCTTTGTGTTTTGTCATTGTGAACTGTGCTATCATCATCACAGCACGTCCAGTCTGAAATACCACTTGATCATGGCCAAACACACAGCTCATGCGAATTCTCCGCCCCCCTCGTCAATATCAGGACCTTGTCAGTATTTCTTTCACCCTTTTATTGATGGACAGTGTTACATTGTGTATATATACATAGAGAGAGAAGGAAAGAGAGATTATATATTTATATATATATATATATGAAAAATATACATATTTCTAGCAAATATGAAAAAAAAATAATAATAAAATATCAGTAAAAATGCTAAAGGTTGGCAGTACATACAAGAAATAAAAATCTGATTTTTTTTATTATTATTAGTAATCTTATTAGGTTTGTTTGTGTGTTTGTAGGTGTTTCGTGAGGCTCGGCGGTGTGTACCCAGCATCATCTACATGCCTCACATCAGTGACTGGTGGGAAGCCATCAGTGAGACGGTCAAGAGCAGCTTCCTCACACTGCTGCAAGACGTGCCCTCATTCACTCCGCTCCTCATCCTCGCCACAGCAGAGACTGTCTACCAGCAGCTCCCTGACGAGGTGACCAATCTGTCCTCTGTCTCCCTGAACATACCTCAAACCATAAAATCGACCGAAATTAAGTCACAATCTCGAACCTAGAATTAAGAAATGAAATCATCGATGCCCCCATGTCACGTTGTAGTCGTTGGTGTGGAAGTATTTTGGATTTCCTGTGAGTTCTGTTGACAATGTTCGCGCTTAAAAAAAACACAGTTTGCAAGCTCTGCTATGTGCGTGTACCATATTCTTCCACTGACAGCACGACTAACATGGCAGGGTATCTTTGCAGGTACCACAAAAACATAGATTTATCTGTTAAACCAACAACTGTTTGTTTGTTTTGTGAACTTGAATGTCATCTTCTGTGAAGAAGACTGCAGTTACAAAAGAGAAACTATTGCAGGTTATTTCGCTTACGTTATTATATTATTAGCACTTTATTTTGTTAATTTTTTTAATTAGACAATGTAGTGTGGTACGTTGCAAACAAAGGTCAGATATTATATTGCATAAAAGTCTAGTCTCAAAATGGCATAGCAACCTGTGCTTTAAAAAAAATAAATGTAAAAATCGAGAATCGAATCGAACCGTGACCATCGAATCGAAGATTTGGAGAATCGTGACACTCCTGACATTGTTTCATAACAGTTTGTGCTAGAGACATGAAAGTCTGTGGCTTGTTATGGAGAGAAGTACTATTATTTAGCTAAGGTTGAGGTGTACTTGTGGTTTTGTTTTTTGTGGTTTTTCTTTTCCATCTGGAGAAGTTGTAAGGAAATCTATGCATGCGTGTGCTGCTCGCATTATGTGACGGTTAAAATCTGGTAAAAATAATATAAATACAATTAAAGTATATAAAATAAAAGTATATAAAAATATATTTATAAAAATAAAAATAAAAGTATATAAAATATTTTTTTATATAGTTTTATTTTATATACTTTAATTGTATTTAATTATTAATTTTACCAGATTTTACCACTTATTAATTTTACCAGATTTTAACCAGATTTTACCAGTTATTAATTTTACCAGATTTTAACCAGATTTTACCAGTTATTAAGTTTACCAGATTTTAACCCTCACAAAACAATCATAATTATTATTTGTATATATACCTGTATGGTGTACCAATCATAATTATTATTTGTATATATACCTGTATGGTGTACCAATATAAATACAAACACACATAAATATATAAATATATATAAAAAAAAAAAAAATATATATATATATATATACGCAAAAATTAAATAAATAAATATATAATAAAAACATATATATATATTTATATAAATATATATACATTTATATAAATATATATATATATATATATATATATATATATATTTATATTTATATTATATATTTTTTTTTTATTATTTATTTATTTTTTTTTTTTTTTGCGTGTGTATTTATATTGGTACACCATCTGCCCACCCACTAGGCCACAGGCCAATAGGCTTTTTTTCTTTTCCACTTTCTGTTCGCCTGTTCTCCTTTTTCTTCAAGGTCTGACCTGTACCCATCATTCCCTTTCTATTCTTTTCTAGTCCTTTTCTAAGCACACCAGGGGCAATAAAATCAATTCTCAAAGACATGGCAGGAAGAGCATGTGAGAGAAGTCTTTAAAATGAAAGGAGCAGCGAGAGAGTGGAAGGCAGAGATAAGTAATGCAGTCTGAAGTCACGTAACAAAATATATATATATATATTCTCCCTTAATTATGCTGACGGGGAGTCACTCTGGCAGCGCTGCGCTTTCACCTCACAATCCAGCATCAAGAGCCTCCAGCGGCTCATGCTGTGCGCCCCATGCGTCCTAGGGTGCGTCGCTGGGCGACTCGTGATTGGCTGGTGGCGAAGCCCTTGATCATAGCCCCTGCTGAAATGACTGATGCCCACCAGGAGGGCACGAGTGTGTTTAGAACAAAAGCACTAATGTTATTGACAGGCCCGTCTCTCGCTCGCTCTATCCCTGCAAGGTGTGTTCATTAAAGCCTGGCTCGTTCCTCTGAGGAAAGACACATGTTTAATTGATAGTAGACAAGGATGGGTTATTATTTCACCCTCTTTGTGGCACTGGGTTTTTGTCACACTTGTTTTTGTTTCCTCATTTGCTTTGGAAATTTGACTCAACTTTCAGTGTTGAAGGACCCTTTGAAAACCCCTGTGGTGTCTTCACAATGATATTCTACTTGTATATATGACAGTGTTTTGATTTAGAATCTGCAGTCAGTGCATATTATTCTATTCACGGTTATTTGTATAGTGCTTTTCACAATACATGTTCCCTCATGTCACGAATCGATACATATCAGGATAATGAACTCACGATACGATATTATTGCGATACTCCAAGACACATGATAAAAGGTTAACAAAAATGTACTGTTGATTAAAATGCTAACATTGATATTACATTGTGGGTTTAAATTAATAGGCTTGGACTTGGTGCTTGTAATGGTGACACCAGAATAACAATATTCATGATTCTGAAGATGAAATTACTTGAGTTATTGTAGATTCTTGCACGCTTTCACTGACTAGATGTATTTAAAATAATGTCGGCCACTTTTTACTGGTAACATCAGACATTTGGCATTATCAGGACCAACAAATATTCCCCCATTGCATTATTATACATTATAATCAACATTATATTTCGTAGTTTAATGTACTTACATTAAAACTCTGAAAACTTTTTTTTTTTTCTCACACAGTAAGTTTATTTTGGTGGGACTATCCACGATACATATTGTTGCATTTTTCTATTGCGATATATTGTGGCACGATATATTGTTACACCCCAACATGTTGTTTCAAAACAGCTCTACAGAAGAAAAAAACATTAAATAAAAAAAGTAATCAAAGAATCAAATGATGTGCGGAGAGTGTATAGATAAATATAGTCATTCGTAGGTGGATTTGGCTGAAAAGTGAAATTAAATATTACGAATTGTGTAAAAATGTAGCATCTTTTATTTTAAAATTAAGCATTATATGAAACTTTGATAACTGCCTTAATCTTTTAAAATTAGTAGATGGTGAATTAAACTGCATTTGATATCACCTGTTAAATTTATAATAATTGTCATAATATATTATAATAAATGTAATGTAATATAATAATTACATCAGCATATGAGTCAAATTGGATGACTACAGGGATTCATCTCAAGATCATTTAACAAAAATTATGAAAAAAAGTTCTGTCAAGAATGGACAATTGTTGAAAATAATCCAATCAGGAATGTTACAATAAGTCTGTGTATTGAAAATGTGCATCAAAAACAACACGGTGAACAGTGTCCACAAGTTTTTCCATTTTCGGATTGGCGTTTATTCTCTTTAGCATGCAGTGTGAAGTATTGCACTCAGTTCCCTGATCATTCCAATTCAATTTCAGCGTGTGAAGAACAAATTTATACTCGCATGCATTATGTATTACATGCGTTATCGTCTCTGATAACGCTCAGACTGCCATTTTCTCTCTTTTCTTGGAAAGTGAAGGCCCATTCAAAACATCCAGTTGTGTGGGGTTTCCAGGTGGACCTCTGCTTCTAGTAATAGTAAATACTGCCGTCTATTGTGCACAGGGATGCAACGATTACAGATTTCAATTAATTTCACAATACTACTAATGTATAATATCACATGAACACTCAACACTAGATTTTAATGTGTTATTTATTGCTGCCACAACATAGTACAAAATTCTTAAATGACAAACAATAATCAATCTCTTTCTTTGGAATTAAAGAGAAGTGCTTTGTAAATATCCAGTATTTTCCTGTTAAAAATAACAAATTAAGTCAAAGGCTGCAGGGCTCTTTGATTGAAATAGATCACAATGTTATTAGAAAGAAATTATTATTATTAGAGGTAGAAAACTTATCTTGAAAAACAATATCTTGTTGGTATTTGACTTAAAAAACAGAAATAATATATTATAAATCCCAATGAAAATAAGAATAAACAAAGTCTTTGTTTCTATTTAAGCTAAATATTAACCAAGTATTTATTTTAAAAGAATGTAGTCCAGGGCTTCTGGGTCTCTTTCTGCAAGGCTCATTTGATCAACTATATTACAAAAATGTGTAACAGTACAAATGTGCGCATCTACCACAAACGCAGGACATCAGTTCTGACTGGATTGCTTCACAAATCGTCACTATCTAACATTTTTATCTAGTTTTTACTCACTGACAAATGTTTTATATAATAAATAATTTTTAATAATTTAATAAGACAATAATTTTTTTTCATAGTTTTTGTCATTCAAAACTAGATTTTATTTAGTTATCGTCTGTGAAAAAATGGCATTGACGAAAATAATGACGAAAATTATTAGTCAACGAAATTAGCAGTTACACCGAGCATATTATATTACAAAGCCTTATATATATATATATATATATATATATATATATATGTGTGTATGTGTGTGTGTGTATATATATATATATATATGTATGTGTGTGTATATATATATATATATATATATATATATATAATGTATGTGTGTGTGTGTGTGTGTAAAGTGTGGCAAGAAAACATTCGCCACACCATTACACATCCACCAGTCTGTGCTGTTGATACAAGGCAGGATAGATCCATGCTTTCATGTTGTTTATGCCAAATTCTGACCCTACAATCAAAATATTTTTCCAATCTTCTATTGTACAATTTTGGTGAGTTGTGCAAATTTTAGCCTCAATTTCTGTCCTTAGCTGACAGGAGTATAAATCATCACATAAATCTTATTTCCTTCCTATCCTGATGCTCAGTTTGAACTTTAGCAGATCATGATGTCCATTCATGTATAATGTTGGGATGCAGCCAAAATGAACATTTAAGATTACTTTATTTTATTTTTATAATTACGTTTTATTTTTAAATTCATTTAGACAAAATAGTATAGTTTTAATATTGGACAATTGTACTTTCCACCCATGCAAATTATTATAAATAATTATCGGCTCATCAATAACGTCATTAATGGTCAAATCGACC